AACTATTACAGACAACATTTTAAATCAACATTTTTAAGTGACTGCAACTATTTATTTATTTAGGTACCGGGGACTGAACTCAGGACTTTGTGCTTGCCAGATAGGCAATGATGTCTCTGAGTTATCTCCCCTACCCCCCATTCGAACTATGTAAGACATCTAAAACAAATATAAAATTGAGCTTTTTAGTATTTTACTCATGTGATTTTTGTCTAAGTATTTGTTAATATTTGATGCTATACTCAAAGTACATATTATATAGCTAAACTGTCAAGTGAGAAGAGAGTTCAAGTGTGCTAATGTTTGATACCAGTAACAATCTTATTCCGATACAAAATATATGAAAGACAGAGAGACAGAGACAGACAGTGAGAGACAGAGAGGGACAGAGAGTCAGAGAGGGAGAGAGACAGAGACAGAGACAGAGACAGAGACAGAGAGTGAGAGACAGAGAGGGACGAGAGTCACAGAGAGGGAGAGAGACAGAGACAGAGACAGAGACAGACATGCTGGGAATCAAATTCCGTTCTTTGTGCAAGCCACTAAGCTACACTTCAAGCCCAGAATTAGTTTTAAAGTTCAGTAATATTAGTATTTTTGGGTTCTTTATAATTGATATACAAATGTCATTTTTACAGCTCTCCCTTCCACCCTTCATGATTATACATCCTCTAGAGATGCTGTTCCTCATCTCCTTCGTGCCTTTGAAAGCAGTCTGTTCTGTGTCACCACTTACCTGCCTTTCATCCCTCAACCACTGCAATTTACCTTCCACCCTCTCCATTCCACAGAAACCCATGGACTACTACTGCTCCACACACAAGCATACACAGTAACAAATTCGAGGTTAAGAGTTACTATCTAAAATACAATGTCTAAAGCAGGACAAGAACATATAGCTAAGTGTGACTGCAGTCCTAACTACTGGAGAGACTGAGGCAGAGGGTAGCTTGAGCTCAGGAACTCAAGGCTAGCCTGGGCAACACAGAGACCTTATCTCAAAAAACTGTTAGAACTAAAACCAAAACACTCTTGTAATTATTTTAACCAAGATATAAAACTTGATATATTTTTTAACTGTTGAGCTATTTTGTAGGACCTTATCTAATGGTATTTATTTATTTATTTATTTATTGCGGTACTGGAGATTGAACTCAGGATCTTGTGCTTGCCAGGCAAGTGCTTATTCTACTGAGCTATTTCCTCAGCCCTCTAATGGAATTTTAGAATAAAACTTATTGGTGTATTTGAGCCAAACCTGAAGTGGACTTCATATTATAGATACATGGCTATGTGTTCTATTTTATAAATTATAGTGCCTAAGATAGTAATATATAGATGTTCACAAAATAACTGCCCATAAACTTTCTTCCACCCCTCAAAAGATACTGCTTGCAGCAGACAGAAAGTGTGCTAGATCCTATTTAAGGGATATTCCTGCAGCTTGGCCTAGTTGACAACAATAACAAACAGAAAAGAAATGTTTTGAAAAGCAAAGGCGGAATCTGATGAGCAGTGTCTTTGGGGGCTGTTTACACTTCAAGGGCCCCATGATCTGTGAGCCTATAATTTGGCCCAGTGCCCTGATACAGGGCCTTAAAAGCCTACACTATATGTAATGTACATGAACTCTCTAAAAACTACTATAATCACAAATGATAATCACCTACTGGGCATTCAAAAGACCCTGCTCTAACTAGTTTTTCATTCATTATCCATAACAAGAGGAGCTACAGTAACTACCAAGGGCCTCACTTGATTATTTCTGGTCTTATTTAAACTTCTTAATTCCAGTGGGCATGAGGCACTTCATTTAAAAAAAAAAAATTAAAATCACGTATGTATGTATGTATGTTTGTAAGTGTGCATGTATGTATTTGGTACAGGGTCTGAAATTCAGACTCATAGTAATCCCCTATCTCAGCCTCCCCAGCGCTGGGATTACAGGTATGCACCACCACATCTGGTTTTGTTGGCCAGCACAGCATGCACAGGGTTCTGGAGCCAGCAGGGCATGCGGTACTGGGGATCAAATTTGGGTCCTTGCGCTTGCCAGGCAGGTGCTTAGACCACCAAGCCATCTCCCCAGCTTGAGGTACTGCATTTTAAAGATGTGGAAACCAAACTGTAGGGGTGTTAAATAACTTGTTTGGATCATGTGCAGTTAAGTACTGGATTAGGCCTGCGGTCACATTACTTCTTAAATGTTTCTTAGTGGTATACTTGTTTGAACTGAAATCTGGGAAGACAAGAATACATCTCCCTTTACATATAGAATCCCCTTTTAATCTTCAGTAATTGTAATGGGAAATTCTTTCAATTACAACTCCCACTGCCTCAGATACACAAAGAGAGCTAGTAAAATCAAGTTTCCTTCTTATCTTCCTTGTTCTTTCTCACTACTTCTAACACTGTTAGTTGAAAATTAGTCAGAAAGCAGGCTCAGGGAGATAGGAGAAAAAAGCAAAGGGGAGAGAGCAAAGGGGGAGGTGGTTTCTTAGTCCTTCTGCTTCACTGAAAAGCCTAATACTCATCTACCTACCCGACCCCCTTTTGGATTTTTTTTAAGATAGGGTCTCACTAGGTAATTCATGCTGGCCTTGAATTCGTTAGGTAGCTCAGGCTGGCCTCAGCCTCCCACATGCTGGGGTTACAGGTATGCACCACACTGTGCCTGCTTGCTCCTAAGGGAAGTGCTTGTTCCTAAGGTTGCCACTGGCTGGCTTTCCCAATCCTAGGACTCTGCGTAAGATAAGCACTTGCCAGCCAGGTGCTTATGCCACTGAGCTATACCCCTGCCCCATGTAAAAGAAATATACAATTTCCTTCCTTGTCTATATCCTCATTCCAGTACTTACTAAGTCACTAAGGGGTCATCTTTGTAAATCAAGCAATGTTTTTCTTTTTTTTTTTTTGTGGGGATTATATCTAGTGCTATACCACTGAGCTATAACCCTGGCCTTTTTTGAGATAGGTCTTGCTAAGTTGTTTAGGCTCGCCTTAAGCTTGCAATATTCTAGCCTCAGCCTCCTGAGTAGCTGGAATCCCAAGCATGCAGCACTATGTCCAGTTGTAAATCAGGAAATTGTAAACTCTATAAACTCACCAAGTTGTTGGCGCTTCATCATCTCCCATTTCACCCTCTTCTACGTCCATTCCTTCTTCTCTATCCTCAGTGTGCTAAATTTTAACAATGGATAGTCTGTCATGAAGCAGTTATTGGGCTGGAGTAACAGTTGATACATTACTAGACACCCATTATTAGAGAATCCTAGCTACAGTAACTACCCAGATCTATAATCTTCAAGGCAAATCGAACTGCATGCAACATGGACCCAAGAATTTAAGAGCAGTATGACAATGACACGGCACATAACCTCCTAGAGATCAACCTGAGCACGAGTGATCAAAATTTAAACTATACATATTTTTATCCCCAAGAAGACACATGTATAATTTAGCAATGATGCCTACAACACTATTCACTGTAACAGTGTTAACAATTTTACGTTATTTAGTGATTACCTAAACATTTACTGATGGGAGATTGTGATATATCCATTCAAGGTTTATCATGATCCATTAAAAAACTGAGACAGGACACTGAGGCAAAAAGATTGAAAATTCAAGCCCTCCCTGGGAAACTTAGCAAGACCCTGTCTTTTCTTTTTAATTTTTTATTTATTTATTTATTTATTTATTTATTTATGTGTGTGTGTGTGTGTGTGTGTGTGGCCAGCTCAGCCCACCAGGGGGCGGCCCTGGCTGGCATGTGGTGCTGGGGGATCGAACCGAGGTCCCTGTGCTTTGCCAAGCTTGTTTCAAGTAGGTGCTTTAGACCACTGAGCCATCTCTCCAGCCCCAAGACCCTGTCTTAAAATACCAAATTAAAAAAGGGGGCTGGGATGGTGGCACCCACTTGTAATCCCAGCACTTGAGAGGCTGAGGCAAGAGGCTCTCCATGAGTTCAAGGCCACCCTGAATTCAGGCTGAACTGCATAATGAGACCCTGTATCAAAAAACAAAAAAACAAAAACCCCACAAATGCAAGACACTAACAATCAAAAAAATACTAAAGGCGGGTTTGGAGATATAGCTCAGTGGGGAGGCTCTTGCTTCAATGCTCAGAACTACAGTATAACAAAAACTGAAACTGAAATGTACTGATAAAGAAATGTATCAGTTAGAAGAAAATGAGTTTAAGAGCAGTATGTGCTATCTAACCTGATCTGGGAGAAAACATACATTTGTACAACTACCCAAAAAGTTCTATAATATCAGATACAGAATATCAAGTATGGCTATAGAAATAATATATACTTCACGTAAAAATATTCCATGTTTAAAATAGAAAGAACAGCTACTCCATAACCTATCTTATGATTATAACTATTAAAATACTGACTGCAGGGCCAGGGATGTACAGTGGAGCACTTTCCTAATGCATACAAGGGTTTAATCCTGGCACCACAAAAAAAAAAAAAAAAAATTAAAACAGCTACTCCATTAATCTACTCTAACCAAAAGTACTGGTACTCTATAATCTACCTTACTTATAGCGTAGCTATACTTTCTATTTTAAATATCATTTTGAATTTTTTAGATAAAATACATATTTTATAAATTAGAAGTTAAGGGCTTCCAAATTTCTGATGATTCAGAGGCTTATTCATATGAACTACTTCAGTAACAAACATATATCCTGGCAGAAGATGTCACATGAACCTCACCTTCTGACCCAAGGTGCTTTCTTGCTCATTGGTATTGAAAACGGTGACATTTTCCAGATTAAACTGACTCTGTAAGTTCAGACCTATTTAAGAAAAAAAACAAGATTTTGAAAATAAATCCACTGACACCTAAACTCATATAAGACTATATAACTTGTGTCATACTGTATAATCCAAACAAAAAATGCTAAATCCAAAATTAGACAAAAAATTAAGTTAGATATAATCACACTGGAGTCTTCAAATACTTTTTAAAATTCATTTGTTAAAAGTGCTTTCAAACTACAGAAAACTTACCTCAGTTATGATAATCATTTTTATTTACAATTTTTGAATAACAATTTCACAGAATACAATATAATTTATAATTTCACTAAAGCATAAAGAAATCACCTCAATGAAACAGGATATATAACAAGTAAATTTATTATAGTTAATCAGAGCCGAGTTTCTTACTGCCTGAGAAGGAAGTTAAAAATAGGCAGATCTACTGCTGCAGAATTCAATTTAAAAGGTATCTGTGTATCTCATGATTTTTGTTGCTGCTTACTTACATTATATATAGACAGAAATATAGATACAGAAATAAATACAGGTGTTTATGTACACATGGGTCAGTATATACATCTCTTTCCTAGCACTGTTGACGCCTTGGAAACATGACATTCTAGTAGCAATGAACACATTTAGGACCCAAACTTGAGCTTTGACTGCTATTTTTAAATAAAATGAGCTAGGCTCTTTGGAAAAGTAGGTGACAACAGGATCACGGCAGAAAAAATCCACATATTATCATATGAGGAAAATCTGAGAGTTCCCGATGACCAAGATGGGAGTAATCTGAACAATACAATAAAAATATATTGATATTACAGCCCAAAGAATAAAATAAATATCCATGAATTCATTTGGAAATAGATACCCAAATAAATAAACGGAGACAACTCTTATGAAAAAAATCCCTATTAATAAATGTAGAAGAAATGAATGTGAGAGAAAATCACTATTATAACACCTTAATAATAGTTAACTGCAGATTAGATCCACTGATAACCTTTTTTCTTTGTACTTTTGAAGTACTGGGAATCAAACTGAGGACCCTCACTCACACTTGCCAGGCAGTCACTGTGCCACTGAGCTAAATCCCTGGCTCCCATAATCCTTTTTGAGACAGTCTCACAAAATTGTTCAGGCTTACAATCCTCCTGCCTGAGCCTCCCTAACTGTTATGATTACAGGCATACACTACCAGTTAAGATGTACTAAAAATTATCAGGCAAAAGGTTAAAGGGAAAGAGTACTTGTATAGCCTCAATGTATCCCCTCCCTTAATATTTATTAATTACAAAGGGAAAACCAGTAACTTTACAGGAGAAATATGGGAGACACTATCTTAACCCAGTGATCAGTAGTGGGATCCAAATGCTTCCTTGAGGGCTGGGATATAGCTCAGCAACAGCGCTTGCCTGGCAAATGTAAGATCCTGAATTTGGAAGTGAGCAACAAACACATGGAAAATACCAGTGAAATGCTAAGAGTTTTGAAATCAGGCAATGATAATGGGTTTAGATATATATTCAAAGATAGTCTTTTTAAAGAAACAAATTAAAATTAAGCTAAAAGCTTAGTGGATTAAAGTCCCTGCTTAGGCAGATGTAGGGACCAGGGTTTGATTCCCTCCAGGGTATGCTGAGACTGCAATTGAGACTGGGAGTGGTGGTGTGCACCTGTAATCTCAGCACTTGGGAGGCTGAAAACAGGAGAATCACTACGAGTCTGATCTGTGTAGTAAGACCCTGTAGATCCTGTACTAAATACATGCATTAAAAAATGTGAATATAATAAATAGAAGGTTTACAGGTAGTACAAGCTATTGGTAAGACTGTGGCAAAACTGGAACCCACAGGGGTCTGTAAAAAGATATAGCCCTTTTCACAAATAGTTTGATAGTTCCTCAAATAATGAAACAGTTACTAAATAACCCAAGAATGCTACTCTTAGACACACCCAGGAGAAATTAAAATTTAAAAAGAATTACCATATCACCCAGCAATCACTACTAGGTATATATTCCCAATAAAAATGAAAATAAATATCCACAGGCACAGAGAAATTTAGATAATTTTCAGTTAGACATCTTACACACTAACGAAAGACAAGAGACACACAATATCTCATGAGATGTACTTCTGTGTAGCTGTAACCTAAAAATCTATTGGTACTAACCTACAAGTCTAAAGGTGAAATAAAGATTTTTCAGGCAAAGTACTAACCTAAGCACATTTCTGGAAGAAAAGTCTAGCAGGGAAATGATCACAGATGGAAGGTCAGAATCTGTGTGAATTCTGACCACATGAACTAAGCAGGGAAGAAATATGAACCCAGACCTAGTATGACAAAAATAAGCTGCATATAAACCTACTAACATATACAATAATATATACTTCATGCAGGCACTGTTCTATGTTCTTTTTTCTTTCTATTCTTGAGACAGGGCCTCATTATGTAGTCCAGTTTGGCCTTGAACACCTGGCGACCCCCTAGCTTCAGCCTCCTTCAAGTGTTGGAATTTTAAGCATGTGCTACCATGTCCAGCAGCTCTTTATTTTTTAATTGATGTAATCTCCTTGACAACATACAAGGTAGTTATTAAAGTAAGGAAAACTAAAGCAAAGAGATGTTAAAATTCACAGGTTTGCAGAGACTAGGCACAGGAGAAAGGCTGTAGGGAACTGAGAGTGCTGCACTTCTGAGCAGGAAGGGGGCTATACAACTGTTTGCTTCAAAGTCATTATCCACTTGTTGCACAGACTTTTCTATGCAAGGATTACATTTCACAATAAAGTTCATTTAAAAAGAAATAAATGAAATATGGCTAAGTGGTAGTAACTGCAGAGGAAAGTACAAACAGATAAACAGGCACACATTATGCAATGAAATAACAATGATAGTTGGCTTATATTTATTATTTCAGTGATTCAACTGCACATTATTATAAATTCTGATTTTAATCAATTACTTGGTTTCAGAATTACCTATATTGGGCCCAGGGAGATAGTTCAGTACAATAAGCACTTGCCTGGCAAGCACAGGGTCCCAAGTTCAATCCCTGGTACTGCAAAAACAAAAACAAGAAACTCCCCCAAAACAGAATTACCTATACTATATATGAGACCTGGTAAAACTACAAGCAAAAGAAAAAAGTGACGATTTTCATTTTTTACAACCATTTTTATTATCATGACAGATCCTAATCCATTAAAAGATGGACATATTTCCATGTAAAGCATTTATTTAACGTATAACAGCTCACCTGATTTCTCAGACAAAGGAAAAAGCCTGGCCAAAAAGAGCTGAATTCGTCCACAGAAGACTGTATTCTGGGATTTAGATAATCTTCTTAGGAGATCTAATAACACATGGAAATAAACATAGAAAAGATCATTCTAAGTTGCTTATAACCATACCGAAATCTCCTAAAGCAATGGCTCTAAGGGTAGAAACCACTGTAACAAGAATACTATCAATTAGGTATGAGATTTTAGCACAGACAAGATACAATTTAGATTTTTAAAAATTTTCTAGTTGGCAGCTAGAAAAGAATTTAATCTACAGGAATGAATATTTTTAACAATCAGACTGTTACTATAACATTAGGATACTGCTGGGCATGGTGGCGAACGCCTGCAATCCTCCCACTTGAGAAGCTGAGGCTTACAAGCTTGAAGCCAGCATGTGCTACATGGAGAGTTTAAGACCAGCCTGAGCTACAGAGAAAACACTCTGTCTCAAAAACAAAACAAAAAAAATGCTAAGGTATCTTTAGGATTTTTTTTTCCCTCCTCGAATGCCTTCAGGGCACTTTTGGCTGGCTGGAGGGTTGTGGGGATCGAACTACAACAACCTGAGGCTGACAGCTTTGTGGAAGCAGCTACTTAAAGAACTGAGCTAGGGCCAGGCCCCCAAGGTATCTTTAAAATGTTATCACTGGTATTTAATTCAACTACCCATTTTTCTAACAGCATTTTTTCTAGAAAGGCCATTTACCAATAACTTACCATTGCACATACGTAGTAAATAATTTTTCCCAGCAGAATAGAATGTACTCTGGAATTAAGACAAAAATATAATCACTATTTTACCTAAGTTGTGATACCTACCTTAAAGTTATAAGAAGTAAATCAAAGAATACTAACATGCACTGAGAATCTACTGTGCTACTTTTTTCAGGTGAATAAACAGGATAACAAATTATTGTTGTAGATGTGTGACTGTTTTCAAGTTAATTTTAACTACCTGATTAAGTTTTTCACTTCAGATATTTCCCTGTAAATGTTTTGACTTGGCTATCCCAAGAGAGCAAAGTGCATCACTCTTTCAATGGGGCAAATTTTGAGGCATCAGCAATATTAGAAATATAAGCAAAAACAAAGCTAGCACGGCCCTAGATCTGAACCACAGCACCACAAGACAAAACTATCTTTAGACTTCTGGATCTATAGAAAGATAGTACTGGCAGGAAAAGAAAGTAAGGCACTTACTGATTTCCAAGTAGCAACATTTTTTTCCACAAAAGTGAATATTGTGTCACACTGATCCAGCGGAAGACAATCCAAAACATCTCCCAATAACACAAAAGGTGTAGATGCAGTACAAATACCTTCAAGTGGAACACAAGCCAATTTAAAAGTTTTAAAAACTGTAAGGCAAAAGAGCCTATGAAAAAAATTCTTAAAAGTATCTTAAAGGATGCACTTTCATTGATAACAAGACTAAAAGGACAAGAAAAGCAGCAGGCTAAGAACAAGATATACTAAGTAACCTTAGATTAAGTGCACTCAGTAATAAAGAGGATGGCACAGCAATTTTTATAACTACCAGAGCATTTACTATATGTCAGGTACATTAACTGTTGCATGTATACTAACACATTTACTTTTTACAGCCCCATGAGGCAGATCATATTATCTCCATTTTATAGAATGGGAAACTAAAGCATGACAACATTAAATAACTTGCCCAAGATCATAGAGCCAGTAAGTAAGAGGTAGAGCTGGGATACGAACCCAGGCAGTCTGGCTCCAGTCTGTTCTCTTCACCACTAAGCTAAGAAATAAAATGCAGCCAGTTAACAATGATAGTCATAATGACAACAGCAACTTGGCAAAAATGCTTACTATATAATGTGAACAAAGCAGGACTGAAAATTGAATGTGTATTACAGATACAACAGCAAACTTTATTTCAAAGACCAGAGAAACTAAAGCATATACAAAACGAATAGTAGTCCTTAAAAGTAGAGGCATTATGACTACTAATTTTTCTTTTTCTCATTTCCAAATGTTTTGTACTGTTGCTAAATTGTCTTTGTGATTTGAAAAGATTTCTCAAGAGGTAACAAAAAGATCTGAATTATTTCAATGGTGATTGAACATATATGATATCAGTATTGTTTAAAGTAGATCAATGCCTATCTCTAAAGTTAATGAAGGTTTTTCTTTTAAAAAAAATTCAGGGGGGCCAGGGAGAAGGCTCAGTAGAATAAGCACTTGACTGGCAAACAGAAGGGCCTGAGTTCAATCCCTGGTCCCGCAAAAAAAAAAAAAAAAAAAAGCTTTTAAATACCTATTCATTCTTCTTTTAAAGTATTCACTTGTGCTTAAAGAAAAAAAGCAGCCACTTACACGATATGTGGAGGGAAGTTTAGAGCACTGTAAGCCCAAAACATTTCATTAACATAGCATATCCAGTAAAAGGAGTAATACTTTCAGCTGTACTCTGCACTAGGGAGACCACATCTGGAATGTGATGGGAAGAACAATGCCTAGAACTGGTGGGTGGCACAAGGCAGCAGCAGGCTGCAACTCAATGCAAGGCTGAGAGAATCAGAACGGGAAATAGTCAAACAATGAGCTCTATCAACCACCAGGCAGTGATGCTACAGCAGGGAGACAGGACCAACAACATCTACAATTCCAATTACTTAAATTCCTTTACTACACATCCTATGCATCTCAGAAACTTTAGGCATATTCTCTGCCCCTGGCTACAGTACCATCTGGCAAAAGTTAACTCCTAACAATCATAGAACTTAATTATCTGGGGCTGGCGAGATAGCTCAGTGGACTAAGCCCATGATAAGGCAAGTGCAGGGACTGGGGTTATCCCTGGGACCATATGCCATGCTTGCCCTGCCCCTGGGCACACTGAACCAGCCATGGAGACCTGGTGTGGTGGCACATGCTTGTAATCCCAGTGCTGGCGAGGCTGAAAACAGGAGGGATCACTATGAGTCTGAGCTGCATAGCGAGACCCTGTACCAAATACATTAAAAAATAATAAGAAAAAATAAAAGAAAGTTATCTGTATTCTACCACCAAAGACTTTGAATCAGTAGAACTAAGTGAGGGTCAGGGAATCTGATTTAAAAACAGAAATAGGTGTCAATTCCAATGAGCTGGCAGGTATGGGAACAAGTTATATGACCTTCAAGAATTTTCACAGCCTATATTCTAGCTTCTACATTGATCTCTCTGCTTACCTTGGCCATATACCCTTCCCCAGCTCCTAATACCTTGCTATATTCACACATCCATGGTTTTATTCAGACTGTTTTCTGCCTAGTCTTCCTTCTCTATCACACGGAAAATAATGACCTCATTTTCAAAAAAGGATAAGTATCACCTCATCTAAAAAACTGGTATCTTGAAGCAGACTACCTCATTTGCTTCTGAAACACAATGGACATATATCTATGGTAACATTTAACATATTCCTGTGTGTGTGCATGTGTGTGTCCTTTTGAGCCAGGCTTCACTATGCAGTTCAGGCTAGTCTTGAACTCACTTTGGGCCAAGGATGGCCTCAAAACTGGTAGTGATCTTCCTGCCTCAGCCTCTGGAGGGATGGGATTAGAAGTGTGTACTACGTTCACCAGCTAGCATATTCTAATTACCTCTGCAATGTAAACACTGAGCTTTTGAAGAGTAGGCATTTCTATATGTTTAACCAGTGTTTGACAACAAATAGAAGCTAGTAACTATCTGCCAAATTGAATTTAGAAAACATTTATGGACAATTTAAGAACATGCTATATAAATGTAAGTAATCTCTCAAGAAGACACCCCCCACCCAACAAAATAAAAAAGTACCTAAGCCTTTATACTGATAAACTGTTTTTCTTTAAAAAAAAATTTTTTTTTGAGACAGGTTCTTGCTGTGCAATCCAGGCTAGCCTTGAACTCAGTGGTCCTCCTGCCTCAGCCTCGCTGGGATTACAGGTATATGCCATCACACCCCACTTCTGAAAATATTTAATGAGCCCTTACTATGTGTTAGGCAGTGTATAGCTACTAGGTGACTTAAGGTTTATAAACTATCCTGTCCATCACTGCCCCATTTTACTAATCCCTTGCCTCATTTTCCTGTCAGTCGCCCTGTTCTCCCACAGCACACAAAGTATTTAGGAGGGCTCTATCCACCCTTCTGCTTCCCTCCTCCAATTCTCTTCTCATGTCCCACCCACTCCCACTGTCTTCTCATCTGGGCCCCAAATAGGTCTCTAGCATGCTGAACTTGGTCTTTGTACAACAACTATTGCCTTGTTTCTCGATATCATCATTTACATCCCAGCTTCATATTACAGTCTGATGTCTAAAACCTCTCCTGATTCTTTTAGTTCTGAAATTTAGTTATTTTTACTCTATAGTCTTCAGCCCAACCACACCACTTGTATTGGTGGATTCATTATATCAACTTGAGAAGTTTAGAAACTTAATTGACTCAGCAGAGCCAGGGTTCTTACTTTGTAAAGATCCTCATCCTGTGCAAAGGAGGGCATGGACATTGTGTGAGTTCTGCACCCCTACCCCAGGGTAGCCTGCTTATACTTTAAAGAGGGGAGAGAGGCTTGCTAGAAGCCACAGCTGTTGCCCCTCCCCTGGCTCTTTGTGTGCTACTCTGCCTGGAAGCCAGGCGAGTATAGACTGAAACCTCCACAAACTGTGAGCTAAATAAACCTTTCCTTCCTTAATTTGGGTATCGGGTATTTTGTTTCAGCACAGAGACACCACCCAACCACAGTACTTACACTGCAGTAAGACATTCACATATCTGTTTCTTCCATTACCTACTGGATGGATATAGTGGGGGATATGTTTTATTCACTGGTCCTCGCTTAGTACCAGACAAATAGTAGATGCTCAGTATATATTTAGTGAATGAATAAAATGACTGGTAAGCAAAGAAAGTGCCAAAATGGGCACTGCATAATAGAGATGAGAAGTAACTGTGAGTTAATTTGCTTGGGACAAACTGTTACCAAATGGTGTTAGGCAGAATCTGAATAAACAAAATCAGATAGGTAGAGAGGTATGGGGAAAAGTTTTAAATAAACAGGTTGTGTCTAGGATGACTTCAAAAAATAAAACTAAACCACACTTACCTCCAGTTACTCCTCCAATAGCAAGAGAAATAATAGCTAAAACGTTTTCACATGATGAATGACTGATCTACCAACAGAGGAGAAACAACTTAATTTAGGGACAAGAGTTCAGGCTGATCTGATAACAAGAAAAACATGTCCTCTGACATATAGAATAATAATTCTTACAGGACATAAAATTATTTCTAAGATAAAATATAAGAAACGCCTAATAATATATAAAATTAATAATTCTGGAAAAATGTCAAGTAAATAATAAGCAGGTAACTTCCTCAAAATCTCAGGAAAAAGGAGACAGGAACCTGACTAATGCCATAAGCTAATTAAACATAGAACTGCTAAGCTCAAAACTCAATCCAGGGCACCAGGCAAGGGAGGGCTGGGGATATTAATGCTGTGCATCAGGCATCCCAGGAAGGGTTTCTCAAGAGGATAGTACTATTCGGGTACTATGCAAATTGAAATAACCAGCATTTATTGAATGTATATTGTACTGTTCTATACAAGAACATGACAAGAAAGCATCTTCATGAAATGAAACTGACACATAGAAAGGAAAGTCACTTCCCCAATGCCTCACAATAGAAAAGTGACCAAGTCTGCAGAAAAGGAAAGAGTAAGTTTGATCTAGAATTGTCTGAGAACAGGGGAAATTTTCATGGCTATTAGAAGAGATCTAGTCAACCTTGGCCTGACCAAGAGTAAACTGCTAAAAAAAAGTTCCTTTTAGTCAGGAGCTGAACCAATGGCAAATTCATATTTTTCACAGATAGGTTTTCTTTACTGAAGGTAGAAAAGCCTTAGGTATTTATGTATCTTTACTGATACTTTGGATGCCATAGGAAAACCAGGGTATGGAATCCCAATTCCTAGCTGAGTGTGTTTGGAGTTTCCTGCCACTAAATTTATACCACCAAGGGAGAGAATCAACCTTTAACATCTAGTTCTTGCTCATTAAAACTTAATGTTATATTCCTTAGCACCCAAACCTTAAACTACACCTATACTATCAAAATCCTTAACCTTGACATAACTCCAACAATCAAATCACTTTTTACAAGGCATTAAGTTCACATGTTGGGGAAAAAGTCATGTTTACATATTTATTGTAGGAATAAAAGGAATTTTTTAACATGGTTATAAAATGATTCACCAACAAAATTTTAACAAAGAATAAAGGAAAAATGTACTTACAATTTCTTCTTCTAGAATACCTCTGAAAGCTTGGTCCAGGGTACATTTTTTTTCATTTTCACTATCAAAAACAAAAGATGCCCCCCATTTTTACACAGCTTAGGCAAAAATAAATATGCAGGCAGATATTTTTCAGGGCTAGTAAGGCCTTACCTGCCAGGTAACTGGTTGAAAGTACTTGCCAACGGCTTGATATTTTTGTTATTCAAGGCCTCTCTGGTAGATTTCTAGAAAAATAAAAATGGCAAACTGGAGTTTGCTTATTGTTTACTGAAAAACATTTAATTCATCAGTAGTCTAAGAAATGTTTAAATTCTTTTTTTTAAAATTAATTAATTTATGTGTGTGTGTGTGTGTGGCCAGCTCAGCAGACCAGGGGGCGGGGCTGGCTGGAATGTGGTGCTGGGGGATTGAACCTCGGTCCCTATGCTTTGCTAAGCTTGCTCTAAGTAGGTGCTTTAGACCACTGAGCCATCTCACCAGCCCAAAGGATTCAAATCTATCTTTTTTTTTTGGCGGTACTGGGGATTGAACTCAGGACCTTGCGCTTGCCAGGCTGGCGCTTACGCTGCTGAGCTATGTCCCCAGCCCCTAAAAATGTTTAAAATCAGGAAAAAATCAACTATCAGTCATTCTCTCAGTAATCATTTTAAATGACACTTAATCATATAGATCGCTATCATTTTAAACTTATGATGAGCATACCACTAGACTTTTTTCATTCAAGTTCGTTCTCCCTCTCAACAGGCAGTCATGCTCAAGGCAGGTCCCAAACTCAGCCTCACAATTAGCTGGGTCTATAGGAGTGAGCTACCAGGGCTGACTCCCTCTTACTATTTCTTTAAATACAACGTCAATGAGAGTGCCTTGCTTAAAAAATAAAAATAAAACAAAAACAAAAACAAAAAACCTCCAAGAGACTCCTTAACTGTTTGGCTTTGAACATTCAAAGCACCCTCATATCTCTGATAATGCTATCCTACTCATTCTACCCCTCCTTTCTCTCTATTCTCTAACAGCTACCCTCCAGCTAAAATCTGGCTATTTTTAAAAAAATCTTTTTTTAAAATTAAGCTTATTTTGATGTATTCTCACATTCATGCTGTTCTCACCACCTACTCATCCATAGTCTATCCATTCCTGTAGACTTGCACTGCAAGTCCTACTTTCTCCAGATAGCTTGCTTGGCACAGTCTCTCACAAACAGTAGACAAAGAATAAATACCTGCTGACTGTCTCAAAATGGTCAAAACTGAAAGATGGCAATACTGCAATGTCACTCACTGTGCACATTCACACATATTTGGAAAGTCGTTCTTTTACCTGGATAAGAGGTTAGAGCTATACCATAAATGCCCATTTCTGGCTCTGCAACTAACAGGCTGAGAAATCTGGGGCTTACTGCTTCATGTCCGTGCGCTTCCTTTTCCTCACCAGTTATTAGGGTTCTCACAGAGCCTTACCAGCAGCAGCAGCAGCAGCAGCAGCAGCAGCAGCAGCAGCAGCAGCAGCAGCAGCAGCAGCAGTGGCGTCACCTGGGAACTTGTTAGAACTGCAGCCCGCAGCCCCATTCCAGACTTACACAGAGTCGGAATCTTCAATTTTAAGGTGACGGCACTGCACACTGCAACCTCAGCATACAGGACTACACGAACTCCAATTAAAGAGAACCTTTCAGGATAACTATCAAAACACTAAATTCTGATAATATAAACCATAATCCTTCAAACACAAACCTTTACGGCAGAAAAATGACTATGAAGAATCTCTTTTTTTTCTCTTTCATTCTGCCACCCCTATTCACATCTAAGAGTTAAGTATCTGAGCAGTTCAATCACGCCTTGAAATACTGAAGCAAATGGCAGAGCCGTACACAGTCAAATGATTCAGAAGTGTTCTTCACACACACCTTGCTAGAGTGGGTAATATGAAAAGAACCCTGGGTCCTAAACCATCTTGGGGTTTCGGACCACGACTTATGGGGGCGGGGGGACGTTCAGTTTCTATCTTATGTACTAGAGATAAGAAAGCTTAACCTATTTGAGCGTTATCCAAATAACCAAGTGAGCTAACAGGAAACTGCTCCGTGAAAATGTTCCCCAAATCCTCCAACTACCCTTTGCTGTTGGGCAAAAATGAAATAGCAGCTGGTACCTTCCCCACCGTGATCGGTTTACCTCTCCCCACGCACGAGAGCCTCGTAATTCTCGCCCGACCGGGTAGGGGTTAGAGTGGGGAAGCGCCCCGGGCCGAGGCACCTGGCGGCCGAGGAGGCGGGGCCCCGCGGATAAATCACTCCCGCCCACCACCCTCCTGGGTCGGTCTCTCCCCGGGACGCCCGCCGGGTAGGCGAGCAGAGCAGGGCAGGGCAAGTGAGCGGAGCTCCCCACGCGAGACACAAGGCGCCCGAGGCTCGCCGGCGGGCGGGTGGACGGAGGCGGAGCGCGCGGTGCCCACCAAGGGGCAGGTAGCGCGCTTTCCCACCTCCCCAGCCCCGACGGGGCCGGGAGTGGGTGCCGCGGCGTTCACCCCTCCGTCTCGCTTCATCCCTTGGTAAAATTCGAGAAATTTCGGGGAGAAAAGGGAAACAATAGTGTCGGGTTAGGCCCGAGCCCTTCCGCCCCTCCGGCTCACCGCAAACCGCGCTCGCGCTTCGGGCAGACTGAAGAGCGGCGGCGTCGCAGACATCTTCTCGGCGGCGCGAGCTCGCAGCCACGCCGGGGCGCCGGGCGATGACGTCAGCACGAGGTCAGGCGGGAAGCGAGCGGGCAGCGGGCGGGGTGGGGCCAGGGCGGCCGGCGCGCGAGGTTGCGCGCCCGGGGCGGCTCGCGGCGTGTCTGTGGCACGGGTGGGGGTCGCAAGCCTGCGGCAGTCGGGCTCTGGGTAACCTTCCGGCTGAGGGCGCTTGGCGGCCTCGCTTTGCACGGTCTGCGGTTCTGGGCGGCGAGAAGGGCGGACGCGCACCTGCGGCTCTGGCGGGGGGCGAGCGGCCGAGCGGCGGCTGGGGCTGCCGGGGAGGCGGCGCCGGGAGGTTGGGCCCCGCGGGAGTCGGAGGCCGGGGTTTTTATCTGGGGCGGCCGAAGAGCGGCGTTCAGGAGCGGCGTTCGTGCTGGGCACAGCAGGTCTGCGGTCTTCCCCGAAGTTTAAGGGGGCGTGGTGACGGGCTTCTTAGTTACTAGCCTTTGGTTTAAGAGCCCTTATATAGCTCATGGCCTCAAAATTAAAAATAATTGTTTCACGGAGCTATTGAAAAGAATGAAAGAACACACTTGTAGTCCCAGCCGGTAGGAAAGCTGAGGGAGGAGGATCGTTTCGAGTTCGAGGCCAGCCTAGGTTATATAGTGAGTTTAAGGCCAGCTGGAACTACATAATGGGATCCTGTCTTAAAACAAAAAGTGACCGAAAGCATACATTGGAGATCAGCATAAGTAGTACTTGTAGCTTTATATTTGGAATCAGTTAAATTTGCTGCCCGATGTTGCCCCTAATAAGAGAAATCTGTAGGAGGAATATGGTACTCATTGCAATTGGAAAGTGCAAGCCGTGTCCGGGATGGAGGTTCTTTTACAAAACCTTGTCTCCTTGGCTTTTCCTCCCTTGCTTTGCTGGGAGAGGCCTGGTCACATTTGAGAAGGGAAGTGACAGTGAATCCAGAAGGTCTGTGTGTTTCGGGGGGCAGTAGTCAGTGTGAGACGCACTGACCCAAGACCAGGGAAATTTTTACCAGCTCTTACAGCCTTGCACTTGTCTCTAATGTACAAAGTGAGGCTCAAACTAACTTGTTCTATTCCTTGACTTCCAGGAAAAGTAGGGAGAACTAAGAAAGAGAAAACTTTGCAGGCTCGCTCCTGAAGTGGGAATTGTGAATGCAAATGACAGTGATGACAGCCTAGAGCATTCCAGTCTTTGGAGTCAACATTGAGTTTTGCTTGTATAAATGAAAATTTCAAATTGACAAAATAATGGTGATTTAACTTAGAAATACATTTGCTTAATCTGCAGGTAAGAGGTGAAGGATTACCATTTTATTACAACTGTTACTAACCATCTGGAATAGGACCAAGACCTAGAGGTAAAGTTATTTTTAATGAAAGTTAAAACAGGAGATGGAATTCATTGTCTCACCCATCAAAGCTTGGCAGCTTAGAATTCTAGTTATTTCCTTGGCAGACATTTGTTAGGCACATAGTGTACAGTAGATAGCATTGCTTGAATAACATCCAAACAATGCCTGAATGAACTAGTCATTTAATTTCTTTTTTGAGGAGCTCTTAGATTGGTTGATACAAGAGGATAGCCACAGAATAAAGTTGGCTGGTATGAGTCACTGAGATGATAGCTCTCCAAGGAGAGGAGACAGATGATTGCAATCTGAGCTGATCAAATAGTAGAACTGGACTTTGAGCTGGACTTTGAAAGATTTCATTAGGCGCAGGCAGGGGTTAGAGGGTTAATATGAAAGATATTCCAAACGGAGGAACGCGCAGGAGCAGAAGTGTGGAGGGAGCAGGATGTGGTGGTGCACACTTGCAGGCCCAACACTTAGGAGGTGTAATAGGTTCCTCTGGAGTTCAAGGGCAGCCTGAGCTACACAATGAGCGCAAGAGGAGCCTCAGCTACATAGTATGACTCCCCCAAAAAGTGTGAGATCAGGGTGAGAGATTGCTGTTTAACTGTTACATAGGATTCTAAAAGAAATAGGGTTAAAAAGTTAAGTTGGAACCAAAGGATATGAACATATGAGGCCAAAGAATATTGTGATTTAAAAATGGTTTATGCAGTTCCTTTGAAGGTGTAGCTGACGGTATATTTCGGAGGAGAGAATTGAACTTGTTTTTGGTGCTGTAGTAAGTGAACCAATGAAAGAGGAGAAATGAAAAATTAGGGGTAATAGGGAGTTGCTGTTTGAAGGGTACGGTTTCAATTAAGAATTATTAAAGTTATAGAAGTGAATGGTAGTATGGCTGCACATCAATGTGAATATACTTATTGCTAGTGGATTGGACACAAACAGCTGGGCATGGTGTACACCTGTAATCTCAGCACTCTGGAAGTTTTAGGCAGGAGGATTGTAAGTTTGAGACTACTCTGGGCAATTTAATGACTTGATGAAACCTTGTCTCAAAATGGTCTGGGGAAATTTTGCTCTGATGAAAAGGACCAAGGAGTTCGATCCCTAGCACTGCATCTCCCAAAAACTTTTTTGGCTATGATGTTTTTAAAGTTTTATTTTAAAGAGAATAGAAAAGTAATTGTAAGACATTAGAAACAATACACAATTTCAAAAAAGAAAAAAGAAACAGCTAGCAAAATAACTCAGTGGACTAAGCGCCTGCTTAGGCAAGTTTGGGGACTAGGGTTTGATCCCTGGTACCACTTGCTGCACGGGCCCGACCCCGGGGCACTCTGAGCTGGCAATGGAGTCCAGGTGTGGTGGGGCATGGCTGTAACCCCAGCTGCTGGGGAGGCTGAAAACAGGAGGATCACTACAAGTCTGAACTGTGGAGTGAGCCTGTGTACAAAAAAGAAAAAGAAGAAAAGAAAAACCCAAATGCTAGGTATCAACTATGGTTGTTACATTGCACATTGTTGTTTTCAGTGTAATTCTTCTGATTACCAGATATAAGCATATAAAATTGGTCAAAATAAACTAAGCATTAACTGCTACCTTCAAAAAACTGATAAAATTAATATAATCATTTTAGCTGTTCTGTTGTCTCAGCTACTTTTTTCTCATTGCTGGGACAAAATACTGAACACCCAGAATTAAGGAAGGAAAGGTATATTTAGCTCACAGTTTGTGGAGATTTCAGTCCATAATCAGATGGCTCCAAGACGGCACATGACACAGGGCCGCAGTTCATGTCAGCAGAAAATGGCAAAGAGCAAAATGAGGAGCAGCTGTGGCAGCTAGCAGGCCACTCTCCCTTACATTGCAATCAGGCTATCCACCCTAGGATGGTTGTAGCAGTCACACCCATAATCCCAGCATTGGATCAGAAATTAATCACAAACTCTACAGTGACTGCTTGAGGCTTTTGGGGGACAACTAAACAAAAACCATAACACCTGTGTATATACTTACATGATTTCCCCCCTTTTTTCATTTCTGCTTTCCCTCATCCCAATTGTTCATCCATTTTGGACAGTTTTCTTCCCCTTTACTCTATTGTGCCTTTCATATTTTATTTACTCTTTCAGGTTCTTACTCTAGGGAGACAATACGATGTTTACACATGTGAGTCTGATTTATTTCAGTTCTGAGTATATGCTCTAGTTGCATCCTTTATCTATAAAAGCCTCAAGTTTATCTTTCTTCATAGCTGAGTAATATTTAATTGTTTAAAAAATCCCATCTTTTTTATTTATTTCTCTTTTGATGGGCATCTGGGTTGTTTCCAATATTTAGCTATGACAAATTGTGCTGCTATAAACATGGGTGCATTTATATCACTGTGATATGATGTTTTCAGTTCTTCTGGAAAAATACCCAGAAGGGGGATAGCTGGGTCTAATGGGATTTATAATTCTAGTTTTTTGAGCAGTCTCCACACAGATTTGCACAGTGGATGCACAAGTCTACACTGCTACCACCAACGGGGAAGGGTTTCTTTTTTTCCACAGCCTCTCCATTATTTGTTGTTGGCTGATTGCTTGATGATAGCCATTCTTTCTGGGGTGAGATGCAAGCTCAGTGTTTTAATTTGTATTTCTCAAACGACTAGTGCTGTTGAACATTTTTTTTGACATTTGTATTTCTTCCTCTGAGAAGTGTTTATTCATCTCAGGTGCCCATTTTGGACTGGGTCTTTGAATTTTATTTATTTTTTTAAAGAGAGTACAAACTAGAATTAAAACAAAAAATTGCAAGTGATATAGAATTTCACTTAAAAAATAATATGAAAAAATATGAATTTCACAGTATTTTTTGTAATACATATTGCTATCTTCCAACCAGTTATTCATATAGTGCATATAGAAGTGGAAGAAGAAAGAAAAAATGTATAAGAAGTTAAGAGAAATCTGAACAATTGACAAAAGGAGACAAAACAAATTTTCTTTTCTATAGACTAAGAGAAATCCACAGTACAGTTGTCCAAACCATCATGCTTACATACATAGATAAGTCTTTCCCCTATTCTTTCTGTCCTCATAAATCTTTCTCACATTCCTTCTCCTGTCTTTTTTACCTTAGTAGCTTTCTTTTTGAATGAGTTCATTGCCTTTCCTCAGTATCTATTATATCTTTCAGATTCCATTGTTCTCTTTCATATTCTGACACTGAGACAGTATGATGTTTGCATATGTGGGTCTGATTTATTTCACTTCAGAATATGTTGTCTAGTTGTATCCATTTACCAACAAAGGCTCAAATTTATCTTTCTGTGTAGCTGAATAATACTTCATTGTGTAAAAAATACCACATCTTTATCCATTCTTTAGTTGATGAGCATCTTCTAATCTGTTCCATTGGTTCTCAGGTCTGTCTGTGTGCCAGTAGTATGCTGATTTTATCACTGTAGCTTTATAGTATAATTTCAATTCAGGGATTGTGATACCTCCTGCCTTTCCTTTGTTTCCCAGGATTGCTTTTGATGTTGAATTTTTATTGTTAAAGAAGCCTGATTTTTTAAAAAATTCTTTATATATTCTGATGTCCTTTGAGTGACTTGCTTAAGATTTTTTTCTCAATTTGTGGATTTTCTTTTTACTCTG